AAACGCTGGACGCCCGCCGACCTGCCCCGCCACTGGTGGGGGTCGAGCGTTCGACAAACGCTGGACCCCTCCAAAAGACAGTCCGTGGGCGGGGGGGTCCAGCGTTTGTCAAACGCTGGACCCCCGCCCACCGGCCGTGCTTTTGAAGGGGGTTCAGCGTTTGTCAAACACTGGACCCCTGCCCGTCGGTTGGGTCGAGGGTTCGGATCAATCGTTCGAACATGCCACCCAAATGCCAATAGCGATGGCCGGTAGGCGGGAGTCCAGCGTTTTACAAACACTGGACCCCCGCATACCGGCTTGTGCAAGGTGGGGGTCTAGAGTTCAACGAAAGCTCTACTTCTGATTACCAACCTTCTCTTTTTTCTTATGGATATCTCGTCCAGGTAGAGGTCGTAAGGGTCCGAATGATGCGGATAAGAGGTACAACCACAGGTCGAAACTGTATCGCACCAAGCTGTGAGCTCTCGACTGGGTCGGTGTGGCCGGCGAGGCCGGGTGCGGTGCTGTTGTGTTTTTGATGGAGGACGAAGGGGCGACCTGGTACTGTTGTGGTGGCATCATCAGGTCTTAAATTGACAAGGCCACGCCGGAGAAGGGCAAGGTCGACGAGCGAGACTTGAGCAAGTGATTATTCACTTCGGTGTACGATGAGCAGGGTACCGACTGGGTCAAGACTGACCACAAGGTGAGCCTCGACCTCGCTCTGTTCAAGGGGTATGTTCAGAAGGCATTCGCTATGAAAGCCTTTGGCAACAAGCGAGATGGGAATGCGTTGAGGATGCTCTTACCCATTGAATTCCTCAGCAAGACCAACGGTTATAGGAAAAGTGGTCAATTCCCGACGGTCGTCGCTGGTCACCAGCTCACGTTACCTATTGTCCCGTTCGATGCTCCTCCGAAAGTCTCGCAGGCTTATCAGCGTGCTCTAGCGATCACCGGCAGGTTGTGTCGACACAACAACAACCTGTCGGCGGGAAGGAGACAATTATTACTTACCAGAGGCGTTCGGTCGATGGGTCATTGGGAAATATTCCAAAGAAGAAGGTGGTTGTCAGACCTCCTTCGAATCTTCTGGTGAGCTCGCGTGCTGGTGCCAGCTCATGCTCGCGGGACACCTCTCAATGTCGAATGGACGAGGAGTCAGACGAAGAGACGGAGGATGATGCATGGGTTCGGCAAGTGCATTCCTGGTTGATAGCGACGCCAGGGCACATCCAAGGCGAAGGCTCTTGCGATGTGAATGAGCGGCAGCAAAGTGGTGGAGGTGCCGGAGCTCGGGTGAGGGACGATGGAGAATACGACGAGGATGAAAGGGAGTGTGGTAGTGGCGAGCAGCGAGAACACATTCGAGGAGCGGTTGACCATATGGAGTGGGAAAAGGTTGCGGTGAGCGGTGGGGTGGGCAGTGACAGTGTCGGTGGTTCGGAAATGAAAGACGAGGAATTGGAAGATGAAGGAGGAGATGTCGGTGTTTCCGCGGGGCTTAACTTCCAAGAGGAAGGGAAAACGCACAGCGCAATCGTCGTCGACGCCAGCTGCGCCTAAGAAGCAGGCTCGAAGGAAAGCTGTGGACGAAGCTCGGGTCGCCTTGGATGCATCCCAAGGGAAGCTTGGTGAAGCCGATGTGAAATACAAATCAAGTGCTCAGGTTCGCAAAACGTCACAACCCAGGAGGCCCGTGCGGTGATCAAGGCGCCAGAAATCGGATGACTCCAGCGACGATGCTGAAGGGGTGACCCCTGGATTGCTCTCCCTCCCTGACGACGACGAGCAGGAGACGAAGAAACCCAGTGTGGTCAATATGATACAGTGCTTCTTCCTCGAGTACGACGACGACGGCAAAAAGAGAAGAGACCCGCCGAGGGTGGTCATTGACGTCGTGCAGATTCTTCCAATTCCTATGGGAGATATCGCCTTCAACCAGCGATCGCTGATCCCGACCATCGAGCGGCAATAGATGCATCAACTCGTCCAAGGTCAGAGGACGATCCGGCTCCTTTGGATCCACCGGAGTTGGTGCTGGCCCCGATTACGCCATCAATGGACGAGAACAACCAAGGGATACTCGTCCTTCCGCATGACTTCGATCCCGATAGGGGAGATGAGTAAGTCTACTCGGTCACGGTGTGGACCATAACACTCATCAGCACTGGATTCACAGGGAATGTCGGCTACGATATTAAACTTTCGTTGTTGAAGAACAAACATGTAAACCTGTACACTCTAAGGTAGACTCCCTTGCAGAAAGAGAGTGAATGAGTTGACAACTTGACACACGGGAAAACAAAGGCGATCAGGGAAAAGAGTTATCGAGAGTGCATGCAGACACATTAATTATCATTATCCCTGAATGACATTTTCAATCCAAAATCGGGCACCAGATCCTGTAAGGGGACTTGAAACCAAAATAAATGACAGTAGCAATTTTGCTTTGATGGACTAATAAACGTAATGTCAGTCCCTCCTCCAGACCCGAATTTTGTGGCAAAGGGAATCGCGTATTCCCGAATACAACTACGTCAAATTTTATAGACCATCAATCATCGTGATTATCTTCAGGAATATTCTTTTATTTTATCAAATCCCTGAGAAGAAAATTATGACAAAAAGGGTAATGAACAAACCGTCTCTACCAAATTTTTTTATTTTATTTTTTATTTTTTTTTAATCTTTGTTTGATTGACCATGTTTAGTGAGGGAGACAGTTTAAGTGGGAACAAACAGTGTTTTAACGACTACAATAGGAAATTGGGTTGAGGGAGTGAAAAGGAGATTGTCATTGACATACACGGGACCCGGTAGCTAACGCGAAAGACTTGTTTTGGCTGCCTAGTGTGAAACGGACTCGATTTTCATCTCCATGTTGTGAGGATACATTTTGGCAGTTCCTGGTTGCGTGATCTCACTATGGGTTTCTGAGCTCATACTGGGTGGATGAAATAGGGTGCAAAGGCACCTCACAGTTGTATTCACTTGAAAAAGACTCGATCGGGCCACTTTGCTAGCGAACGAGAATCGTCAGTGGGAAAGGAGAATCAGTAGTGTTTCCGCTTGGGGGGGGGTTATTGCATTCCCTAGAGACAACCATTATTTTGAAACAGATCTACATCGAAACGCTGAAATGGTGTCAGGCGGCCAAAGTCAGTCGGTCACCCGAAATGGGACAATTTGAAGAGTCTATTGATCAGACAATAGAAATTTTAGGGTTAGTGTTAAGGGACGAGCGGTAAAAAAACAGGGCACCTAGTTCGACCCTGTTTTTCGACCCGTCTCTCACTGACACTAACCCTACTTTTATGCAGATGAATATACTAATTTATCAAACTCTTGACACCCCTACCATCGATTTATTTCCTCTGATTTTTATTCCCTCCGTACCCGGTCGCTGATGTGTGTGTGGGTCTCCACACGGTCGGTTTTGCGCGGCCGAATTGGGACGATTTTTATTATTATTTGTATGAATAAATTTAAGAACGCGATCAAATTAATTAATGATGAAAAGGAACTCCAAACCCTCGATCTTGAATGGTACTTCATTTCATTTTATTTTTTCATGATTATGTATCCCCGCTGACGTTTCTCCCAATCTAGGCTATTTTGTTACCCCGCTTATGACCCCTATTGCCGTGAATGTGAGTGACCGTTATTATTATTATTATTATTATTATTATTATTATTATTATTATTATTATTATTATTATTATTATTTTAATATACTTAAGAGTGCGGAGAGCGAAGTGCGGCGATTGACTATTTTGCAGTGTATGGACCTGCTCATTCGGTTTTTTTTTAAGTGAGGGTTTTTCTAGTCATCATCAGGCCTCACTTGACCGTCGCGGTATGGGCTCCGGTCCGGGACCACGGATACGGCTCGTCGGTCTGGTTTCTTGGTACGGTTCATTTACACGGTGCATTGGTACTTTGTGTGGATCACGGTGGGGTTCATTTGGATGGTCCGTTGCAACAGGTCCAAGCCACTCTTGTCGAGCCTCCGTTGGAGCTGCATACATGGATCAAATTACTGCGAACTGTGTGGATGGAACAACCACTAGGCCAAGGACATCTGCGGTACCGGGACTGAAGTGGACTGCGCTGCGGTCACCGGCCCTATATTGACACAGGGATTGCAGCGGGTGTGGACTGCCCGTATGGCGATTGTATTAGGCCTGGATTTGCACCACAAAAATTGTTGTTGAACCTGTTTCTGAACATACTGGTACGAGACGAGAGGTATGTACACCAGGCCTGGATCTGCACCACAAGAATTATAGTTGGACTTGTTTTTGAACCTACTTATACCAGACCAGAGGTCTATACACCGGGCCTGGATCTGTAGTCTCGGCCAACAGCTCGTACTAGGGCAGTCGGTGCTGCGCCAGCGGTCGGTACCCCTTCCTTTCCGGGCATGGGCCTGCCCATGTGGGTGCCAACTCGGATGGCATCTATACAAGCAAGGGTTTTGACTTTGGGAAGGGACCGCGCGCATCGCATACTCCATCTACGGGGAAGGGAAAAGAACGAAGCATGGACGACGCGAGAGGGGGATATACGCATTAGGGAGATGAGAACGCGCAAGGTGTCCGCCGCCCACCAGGGTGGCGCCAGCAGAGACAGCGAGAGAGAAGGACTGCGGGTAGAAAGAGACAGTGAGAGAGAGAGTGTGTGTAGTGAGTGAGAGAGAGTGAGTGCAGTCAGAGGGAGAGAAAGTGCGCAGTGAGTGGGAGAGAGTGTGTACAGCGAGAGGGAGAGAGGGTGCGCAGTGAGAGAGAGAAAGAGTGTGCAGTGAGTGAGAGAGAGAGTGTGCGCAGTGAGAGAGAGAAATAGTGTGCAATGAGTGAGAGAGAGAG